CTTCTTTCAGAGTTATTCGAGGCCACACTGAAGATTAGGGATCTCTACCAATTGTCCCTAACTCTTGGGGATGAGAGGTGGGCAGCGGATGCTGACCTTCTAGTTATATCTTAGCAAAGTGAGACCTTCTTGGCTTGACACTCACAAACTTTTTTTTTTTTTTCTTCTGGTGGTGCTGGGAATTGAACCCAGGGCCTTGTGCATGTGAGGCAAGCACTCTACCAACTAAGCTAYATCCCCAGCCCCAACCCACAACCTTTTTGATTCAACAGATAATGGCTGTTGAATCAACATTTCCCTTCTCTGATTCTTTTTTTTTTTTAACCTTTATTTTATTTATTTATTTTTATGTGGTGCTGAGGATCGAACCCAGGGCCTCGCAAGTGAGAGGTGAGCGYTCTACTGCTGAGCCACAATCCCAGCCCCCTTCTCTGATTCTTACTGTGGGGATCAGGATTATTACTACAAGGTCTCCGATAGGGGAGGTGCCGTGGAGGGAGGTGTGTGTATGTGGGTGAATGGTTGAAGGAAAAGACCCTCTTTGCAGAAGCAGCCCAAATAGGTGTGTGGAAAGGGCAGTGGGCTTGGAGTTCTGATGTTCAGGCTGGGTTTTTGGTGGTCTCAGGTAAGTCTCTTTACTTCTCTAGGTCACCAGCAATGTCTCTAAAACCTGCCTTGCTGTCTGTCTCCAACTGCAGAGAAGTACAGACAGATGGCTAAGAGAGAGCTTGATGGAGCTATGAGTGGAGAGGGAGGTGGGGGAGGCAGTGGTCAGGTCCCCTCCACCTCCSTTGGGACAGAGAAGCTACTGGATATAGTTCATTCATAATATTTAAAACTAACCCTGAGCTGGGTGCCTGGCACACGCCTATAATCCCAGCAACTCAGGAGGCTGAGGCAGGAGGATGGCAAATTCGAGGTCAGCTTCAGCAATTTAGCAAGGCTCTAAGCAACTTAGTGAGAACTTATCTCAAAAAACAAAAAGGATTGGGGATGTAGCTCAGTGGTAAAGTGCCCCTGGGTTCAATCCAGACCAAAAAACAAACAAACAAACAAACAAACAACCCAACTAACAGGAACTTGGCCCTTACCACATGCCAGGTACTATTACAAATGTTTTATATTCTTTTAGTGCTAGGTGTTAAACCCAGAGCCTTGCRCATGCTAAATAAGCTTTCTCTACTGAGTTATAGCCCAGCTCCACCAAGTCTTTTAAATACAAACTCATTTAACCTTGACAACAATACCACGGGACGGTATTGTTTTTATTATGCCTGTTAAACAGATGATGAAACTGAGGCTTAGAGAGGCTATGGGTCTTGCCAAAGCTGGGATTCAATCCAGGGAATATGATTCTAGACTCCATCATTAATTCCTCCCACCTTAGAACAGGAATGATTTGAATTTGGAGATGCCAGGAATGAGGACCAGTCTTGTCCTTGGGAAAAGTACTTGCAGACATTCAGAGTACCTGCAGATTGAAGACATTTATGTCCTGCAAATGATCCCTGCCCCAAACCCCATGAAAGCACTAAAAGATTTGGTGAGATATTTCGATCAACTTCTGGTAAAGAAGAGATGCATAAATGAGACAAGGAACAACCTTCCCCCACCAGAGGAAGACTGATAAATTCGTCTCTATCCTAGCTAAAGACTTCCATGTGATAGCAAATGAAACTATGCAATTAGCAATAATTATAGTTAACACTTATTGAGCATTTACATAAAGCCATTCAGGTATTTTTTTTAATGTGCTTTATTTATTTAATCCTTTCAATAACCTTATAGAGGAAGTACTACTACTGTAGAGCGGTTGATGAAAGGGGAACAGGGAAAGATAAGGGATCTGACCAAGATTTGAATAGCTAGACAGTGGTGGACCAGTATTTGGACTCAAATGATCTAGTTCTAGAACTTGTTTTTATTTACTTATCATTTATTTGTTTATTCTGGTACAGTTGATTGAATCCAGTGTGCTGAACCACTAAACCACATCCCTAGTTTTGAGATAGGGCCTGCCTGGCTAAGTTTCAGAAGGCCTTGCTTACTTGTAGAAGCTAGCCTCAAACTTGAGATCCTTCTGCCTCAGCCTCCTGATTAGCTGGGATTATAGACATGTGCTACCATGCCTGGCTAATTTTTTTTTTTTTTTGAGATGGGGTCTTGGGGTAACATTATTTTGCCCAGGCTGGTATCGAACTGGTGGGCTCAAGTGGTTCTCCCACCTCAGCCTCTTGAGTAGCTGGGACTACAGGTAATGGTCACCATCCCAGCCTAGAGCTTGCATTTTAAATCCTTAAAACCTAATATAAATGACCGGGGAAAATTATTCCCAAATTATGTTAAATACAAACAACAGCTCAATAGGAAAATGGCAGAGGATGTAAACATAGGAACCATTCATTGCTTGACCTCACCAGGAGGTAAGGACAATGCAGATTAGAAAATCAGGGAGATACCATTTGTTTTACATTAGATGTACAAATATAAAATGATCCGTCATATCAAGTGTCAGCAAGGCTGCTGGCTATACTTCTATGTTAGTGTAAATTGATATAGACTTTTCAGAGCCCTAGTTTGGCAGTAGTATTAAAATATTAAATGCCTTTGACACCAAAGATCACTCTCTGTGGAGTATTAGGTTGAACCATATTAAATTGCCAGTTTTGTAGGTCAAAACTGGCCTAAATTCCACAATTGCATGCGGCTTAACCCAATACTAGAGCSGGTCAGGGGAGAATGGGAGGGGCTGGAACATGAGCTGGGAAGAATCTGAATATTCAWTGGGCAAAGGAAAGGTCAATCATCTGTGTTCAGGGAATACAGACCTAAGTGCTGGGCACTGCCCTCCAAAGCCTAAGGCTCTTGAATGTTGAGACTGAGTGAAGGAGAGTGTCCACACCTCCTTTTGTCTACTTGCCAGCTCTTCCAGCTTGGAGGCAGGGATTCACCATCTTCCAAAGGTGAAGGCGATTTTATTTAAGATACAGAAGCATGTGTTCACTTAGCCATGTGGTACACAGCCAAGCAAAATCAGGGCAGTTTCCTTGTCCTCCCAGAAGAGCAAACACATTCATTAATGATACAGGTGGCACACACCTGTAATTCAGGGGACTGAGGAAGGAGGATCACAAGTTCAAAGTCAACTTCAGTGACTTAGTGACACCCTGTCTCAAAATAAAACAATCTAAAAAAGCCTGGGTAGGGTGGTCTCTCTCTCTCTCTCTCTCTCTCTCTCTCTCTCTCTCTCTCTCTCACACACACACACACACACACACACACACAAGCACACACAAAGACACAATTGTCAGTGTCTGGGGAATATCGTACCTACTTAGGAAAGCACACTCTTTCTTTCTCAGCCTCTGGTTTATAGTCAGTGTGCTCATTCAAAGCCGTCCTTATCTGCTGATTGAAACAGGGCCCAGGCTGACCTCACTTTCCTCCTGCTAGCAGCAGGTRTACAAGTGACAAATCAGATCAGTCCCAATACTGATAGAGGTCACATGTTCTTGTAAATACGGGAAACTAGCATCCATTCCACGTTGGGGGGGGGGGTTCCACATTCACTTCTCCTCTCCCCTGGGAGGGCTGTGTCTGTTTCTGCAAGGTTGTGGTGATGCCCAGAGAGGCCTCAAGGCCAGCAAGTGGCAGAACTGAGATTTGGCTCAGGTCTGGTGCCACACGCTCTGGATGATGGGTTGCCTGTTAGACAGGGATTGTAAGATTCACCTTATCTTTTTCTTTTCATGCCCCGGGCCCCCTGCCAAGATGCCAGCTTGTGGGCCGCCTGCCCACCCGCTGTCGTGGGGCAGGGATCCAAGCTGTCCCTTGTATGTCTCCTCCAGTCTTCATAGGCTGCCTGCTGCTTTCTGCACCCGTGTTTGGCTACCTGGGTGACCGCCACAGCCGCAAGGCCACGCTGAGCTTCGGGATTCTGCTGTGGTCAGGGGCTGGCCTCTCCAGCTCCTTCATCTCTCCTAAGGTAGGTGCCCACACCCCTGCCCAGGCTCTTGAGACCGTCCTTCCCCCTCTGCTTCCTGACACAGCCCCATCAGTGGAAGGGGGAGGGTGGGACAAGTCATTCTGTCCCTGGCCCTGTCTGACTCAGGGACTGTAGTGGCAGGGCTGGGAGAGGAGGTGGGGCACAGCTGGGTAGACTTTCCTAACAGGAGGCTTCCTGGTTTGCACCTTCCTCTGTCACCCTCTGCTTCACTTCCGCCCAGCTCTGCTGGAGGTGGGGGTGGGGGTAACAGCTACTGCCTTGGGGAAATGACCTGGTTAGCAAAGAGACCCAGGAGAAGGGCTCCCCTGGATGTGGGGCAGGTGGTGGCWGTACGTACCAGCAGGGGGCACATGTGTTATTTTGGGAACTTGAGGGTGCAGGGAAGGGCTGAGGAAAGTGAGGTTTCTGTCGCCCTGGTACCCTTTCCCTTTGGACCTATGTCATGAGGTCCCTTACCCCGTGGACGGTTTCTGGAACTCACCTTGGTCCTGTGCCTGACTCGCCCAGTATTCCTGGCTCTTCTTCCTGTCCCGAGGAGTCGTGGGCACAGGCACAGCCAGCTACTCCACCATCGCACCCACAGTYTTGGGTGACCTCTTCGTGAAGGACCAGAGGACCCGTGTGCTGGCCATCTTCTACATCTTCATCCCTGTGGGGAGGTTGGTATCACCCCTGTATCCTCAGGAGGTAACCTGAGGCCCGAGGGAGCAGAACAGRGGCTGGGCTGGAGATAGGAGAGGCCAAACCAGGAGGACTGGGATTGGAATCCCAGGGCTGCCYATTCCTCACCATGTCACTTCACTTCTCTGAGTCTCAGTTTTCTCATCTCTAAGGGGGCAGTAACACCAATTGATGGGGCTGTGGGAAGGACTGGAGATGATAAGGACATACCCTGTGGGTTAGCATGATTAGGAAAAGCCCTATGGCTGCTCAGAGAGGGGCTGGCCTTGGACAGAGAGGTGAGGAAGTGTGTTTGGGCCACACCCTGTCCCCATCCTCGGGTGGGGGGGGAAGAGTGGAATTTGCTGTCAGGCCCCTGAGCTGTGACCCAGGTTTCCTGAACTTGYCTGACTCAAGCAGAGCTGAGCCTTGGGCATGAGGCTTGGGGGTGGGATATGTGTGTCCTCATATGGGGAGAGAGTGGCACTAGGGGGTGGGCCAGGAGCCAGAGGTCACTGGTGACCTGAGCAAGGGCAGTGGACATCTGGGCCTCACGTGGCTCACGTTTTTCGGGGAAAGGGCTTAGAACCTGCCAGTGGGGGTCACCCTGGTTCAGGCTGGCCTTGGAACCTGCCCCCTACCTCACTTCCCATCTCCCCTGCCCCCTCCGTTGCAGTGGTCTGGGCTACGTGCTGGGGTCGGCTGTGGCGGAGCTAACAGGCAACTGGYGCTGGGCCCTTCGAGTGAGTCCGGTTTCCTTTCCTTCCCTCTACTTTCCCCCTGGGTGGGCAGGGACTTTCCAGCCTTCCATGGCCTTAGCCACTTGGCACAGTACCCGGCGCCATGGGGGGGGGGTGTCAGACGTCGGCAGCTTTGGATGCTTGGGGCCTCATGTGGAATGTGGGCTGGGGAAGTCATAACCTTGGGTTCAAGTCCCAGCTGCTCAGTTTACTTGCAGTGTGTGACCTCAGGCAAGTTGCCACTCTCTTTGAAGCCCCTGTTTGCCTATCTGAAAAGTAGCGGCGGGGCGKGGGGGAGGGAATACTACCTGGAGAATCTTGAGGATTATTTTGGGACAAGGATTGAAAAGTTTCTTGGCGAGTTCAGGGCCAGGCACATAGTAGGCCCTCAATGACTGGCAGCTGGGGTTGCTCAGGTCGTGGAGGCACAGTATCTGAGAACATGCCTGATAGGCCCTGTTGGGTTGCAGCCAGGCTCCGTCTTGGACAAGGATGTGGATCTGTCCGAAGGGGCAGGAACTCGGTGGTGGAAGGAGCTGGGGGCTTGGTTCTGCATGAAGGGCTCTGCTGAGTTGGCATGTGACGCCATGGAAGGCAGCCGGGATGGGTGGGCTTCAAGGAAGCTRGTCTGACTTGGCTTGAATAAGAATCTCCTCATGGTCTGAGTCAGGTAGAGAGATACCTGTGTGGGCAGGAAGGTCCTTGAGGAAGCAAGTACTCAGTGGGTCAGGACTCCCATTTCTTTCCTTCCTCCCTCCTTTCTCCCTTCCTTCTTCCCTCCTTCCCTTTCTTCTTTCTTCCCTCCCTTCCTTCTTTGTTTTGCAATTCTAGGGTTTAAACCCAGGACCTTGCACATGCTAGGCAAGTTTTCTACCACTGAGCTGAATCCCCAGCCCTTTTAAAAACTTTTTTTTGAGACAGTCTCACTAAATTACTGAGGCTGACCTCCAACTTGCGATCCTCCTGCCTCGGCCTCCCAACGAGCTGGCATTACAGGTGTGTGCCACTGTGCCCGGCCTCAGAGCTCCCATTTTCAACCATCCCAGACCCACTGACCCCAAGTAAAGTAGCATCTGCACTGAACAGATAGATATTAATCAGGTCCTAAGGGGACCCTATTCCCCAGAGAAGCTATATCCTTGGAGGTAAGGGGTAAGGAACAGTGTGGTATGTCCAGCTTTGTGTATAACCAGGACCTAGGACCCAGGATCTGGTCCCCAGAGTTCAGGCACAGTGGCTGGCCCTCCTCAGGTCTCCTGGGCCATGGTAGTATGTAGCTCTGAGCTTCCTGGACACCCCCTGTCCCCAGATCATGCCCTGCCTGGAGGCTGTCGCCTTGATCCTGCTTATCCTGCTGGTTCCAGACCCTCCTCGAGGAGCAGCTGAGAAGCAGGGGGAGAAGGCTGTGGGGACCCTGAGGAGCAGCTGGTGTGAGGACGTCAGATACCTGGGAAGAAAGTGAGTGTCCCTGTTGCCTGCTGCAAGCCACAAAAACCCTGTCAGTCTGCTCCAGCCTCCCTCTCTCCCTTTGGCCCTCCTGGTTGTCTCAATGTCCAAAGCCTCCTCCTCCTCTGAGCTCCACTTACCTACTGAGATGCCCCTTCATCACTCGGGACTCAGCCCTCATGGCCTCCCCATGCTAAAATGGGGCTGGACGGTGGACAGGTGGCACCAGGTCCAGCCTGGCCTCTGTTGCCCCCCCCACCCCGAGTGAGCCTGAGACTCGGAGCCTCACTTTCCTAGTTGATTCAATGGATCTCTTTCTCCAGGCCTGCCTGCTCCTCGGGGCTGCTGGGAGCTCATTGCTCATCTCTCCCAGATGCATGGGGACACATCTTCCTCTCTCCCAGGCACCTTGGGGGAGGTAAAGGAGAGCCCACTGCAGTGGCGGGCCTCACGATCCACTGTCACGTCAACTCTCTTCATTCTAGAGCCATGAGACCCGTTGAGGGGACTCCAAGGAGAAAGGGGGCAGGCGGGGGCAGCTGTCCTGGAGAATGTGATGTGGGGCTGGGGCCTCTCCGGAGGGAGTTGTGATCTGCAGAGGAGGGGAAGAAAYGGCATGAGCCAAGGGTGTGGAGGGGGCTGAGCAGGGAGGCTCAGGAATGTTGGGGAGGCACAGAGGGCTTCTGGGAAGAATCTGGAAGCCAGGGCCTGCATACCTGGGCTGGGGTGGGGGGTGGTGGAGTGGAGAGGCCCTTTTGGCCCCAGCCCTCTCCCAACATCAGTCAGGTTACTTCTCTTGCAGCTGGAGTTTTGTGTGGTCGACCCTCGGAGTGACATCCATGGCTTTTGTGACTGGAGCCCTGGGCTTCTGGGCCCCCAAGTTTCTGTTTGAGGCCCGTGTGATCCACGGGTGGCAGGTTCCTGATTTCCAGGAACCAGGAAGCAGCCAGGACAGGTGAGGGGCCTCTGGGGGGGGGCTGGGACACTCGGCCCAACTCAGGACAATCTTGTTGGGGAGGTTCTCAGGARGGTGTGAGCCCCCAGACTCGGTCTTTCTGGGCACAAGGTGAAGAGGGGAGGGCTTGGGGACCAGCTGGGCAGGCGGGAGGTTTGGGTCTCACTCTGTGGGATCAGCTGTGCCACCCTGTGTGTCCTAGGCAGCTCCCTGGTCCTTTCTGGGCTGAAATCCCGGTCTTCCTCCTCTAGGGGCTGCTGTGGGACTCCTGAAGGCACCTGCAGGGAGGGGGATGAGGCTTTTGTGGGGAGTCTTGGGCAACCACCCTCCCGAGGGGCCTCAAGGATTTTCTCTGAGGTCACCCCATTAGATGGATTGCAAATTGAGGCAGTAGCAGGCCTCATTACGATTCTGACTTAGGGATTTCACCTGTGCCTTTGTTCATTCTCTGGCTCATTTGTGACACCCAAACCCCTGGGAAAGCTGTTGGGAGAGTGGGAGGGGCCATACTCTGTCCTCAGGGGATACCCTCTCACCTTCCTGCCTGGCCATCCCTCCTACTCTGCTGGGCTCCTCTCCTGTCCCCACCACCTCTGAGCCCATTCTCCAAGGATTCCTCCTCCTTGACACCCTCAGTCTTACCTCCTCCTCCTCTTCTCTGGCTGATGCTTTTCTGTCTCCTTGTGGTCCTGTTTTCTCTTGGATCCTGCCCCRCTCATTGCTTAGAATTCCTCATGGCTCTGTGCCCTTCCTTGGAGCTCCAGCCTCTGCCAAATGTACTTTTCCATAGAATGTTCTGGAAATTAGGACGTTTTGGGAGGCTATCATTTCAGACTACTAGAGTGGGCAGAAGGTCCTTGTGCTGGGGTCTATATAGCCCTCAGATGTTAATGTACTTTCTTTGGTGCAGGAAGCTTCAGGATGCAAGATTCTGGCTTGCCACAGGGAGAACTTCCAACATTCAGAGCAGAAGTGGTCCAATGGCAGGGGCTGCAGGGGGAGGCAGTGAGTTTCCAATCCCTGGGGGCRGTGTGTAAGTGGAACTTGGACAGCTGCTTACCAGGGCTGCATAGAACTTGGCTCTGAGAATCTATGATCCTGGGAAGGTCTTGTGTGTGTGGCAGGGCTTGGTGGCTGGGGCATGTGCTTTGGTTGCTTCTCTTGCTCAAGGGCTGATGGAGGGCCCCGGCCACACTGCCTGTTTGAATAATCAGTCCCAAGTTTCTCAGAGGTATTGGGAACCCGCAGAGGCCGGCTCAGAGCAGGACTCAAGACGTGGGTGACATTCATCCGGGATTTGGGGGTCACTTGACTTGGCTGAGCCAGAGCTCTGCTAAGCTTCCGAGCCTGGGAAGTTTTGGCGAAGATCTTTAAGCTGTTCCAGGAACACACATGCCTCTATCCGGCAGGCAGAAGGTTGGGGGACACTGGCTCTGTCTTGAGAGGCTGTGTGACCTCAGGCAAGTTCCTGCCCTCTATGGGCGCCATACTGTCTCCCATACCCAGAGGGGATGGGGATAATCCTCAGCCTGTGGAGGGGCATTTCACAGAATATGTGCAGCGGGGAGGTACTTTTGTGGTCCTCATACACAGATCACATTCTTGCATCCTGGTGGCAGATCTGGAGTAATAACAGGGCCCTTGGCCATCCCACACAATTCTGGAATTGTTTGGATGTGGGAAAGAGATGTGGCCAGGCAGAGAAAGGGAGGTAGGGACAACGGAGCTCTAGGCCAAGGGAACAGTGTGGGCCAAGGCAGGGAAGCCAGGAAGAATAGAGTGAGTTTAGAGAATTCTCAGTCATTTGTGCAATGTGAGGGAGGGAGATGAGAAGGGAAGCTACACAGGTCAGCAGGGGCCAGTCCCCTAGGGCCATTGGTGCTGGCCAGAGACTTGCATAAGAGGACAGCAGAGAACCTCAAGGGGCTAGAAGGATCCTGGCTAGATTTGGGTTTCCAAGAGTTCATGCTGCTTACAGTCTCAGCTGTGCCTTTTTTGGGCGTTGGAGGCATACTGGGGATTGAACCTAGGGGTGCTCTACCACTGAGCTACACCCCTGATCTTTTTATTTTGAAGCGGGATCTTGCACATTTGCTGAGACTGGTCTTGAACTTGCAATCCTCCTGCCTCAGCCGCCCAAGTAGCAGGGAATGATAGGTGTGTAACCCCATGTCTTGCTCAGCTATGACTTTGAGTTCCTTTAAAAAGTGTCTTGACAGGCATGGTGGTGGTATGCCTATAACCCCAGCAGCCCAGGAGGCTGAGGCAGGAGAATTGCAAGTTCAAAGCCAGCCTCAGCAACTTAGTGAGGACCTAAGCAACTCAGTGAGACCCTGTCTCTAAGTAAAATACAAAAAAGGGCTGGAGGGGCTGGGGATATAGCTCAGTTGGTAGAGTGCTTGCCTTGCATGCACAAGGCCCTGGGTTCGATCCCCAGCACCAAAAACAAAACAAAATTAAAAGGACTGGAGATGTGGCTCTCTAGCATCCCTGGGTTTAATTTTCTGGTACAAAAAAAAAAAAAAAAAAAAAAAGAATAGAAAAAGGTGGTTTGACTGAAGCAGGGGGGTGAAGATGGATACTCAATTCCTGGCTCTGCTGTTTATTAGCTGGGTAATCTTGGCCTTGACCTTTCTCAGCCCTGCCTTCTTCATTGTTCTCCTTAGAATCCTGGCAGGAAATCAGTGAGTTCCTTTGCTCAATGGATGTTTCTTGTCTTCTAGTCTTTGTGCTTCCAGCATGGAGTCAAGGAAGTAAACCAAACCTTGTCGCTCTTCTCCGGGAATTCACAGGCGAGGAATTCCTGGAAAAGATCTTGGTAACAGAGATACAGAAAGTGAAAGTGTGATGGGAACTGATGGTGAAGGAATCAGCAAGGGAACAGGGAAAGGCATCCCCAAAGAGGGGGCATTTGTGATGGATCTTGAAGGCTGAAGAGGAGTTCACTCTAGTGAAGGGTGTTCTAGATGAAGGAATGAAAGTACCAGGTGCGGAGTGGGGTGCAGATGGCAACCAGTTTGGAGGAAGAGGGATAAACAGAATTGCACCTTTGGTCCAAGTGGGCTGGAGTCAGACCAGGAAGGACAGCATATGCCGCATGGAGTTGGGACCGAGTCTTGTAGGTGGGGAATTTCTAGCCGGAGGTAGGCAGAGTACAGTCAATCTGTGTTTTAGGAAGCACCCTCTGAGGGTCTGTATGGGCATTACTGTGAAGGGGCAGGTCTCCATAGTTGGGATGTACGGGGGTGGGGGGGGCAACTGGAGTGGACGTGGGTCTAGGAGTAGGAGGGAAAGACAATGTGGTCAGAAGGGGCTGCTTGAGGGGTGTTCAGACGGTGAGTGGGAGGGTGCCATCAAGGAGGGAATGTGGGGCTGGGGATGTGGCTCAAGCGGTAGCGTGCTCGCCTGGCATGTGTGCGGCCCGGGTTCGATCCTCAGCACCACATACCAACAAAGATGTTGTGTCCGCCGAGAACTAAAAAATAAATATTAAAAATTCTCTCTCTCTCTCCTCTGTCACTCTCTCYTTAAAAAAAAAAAAGGAGGGAATGTGTGTATGTCCACAAGGGCTGGATGTACCATAGGAGCTCGGTACAGAACATACACTTATCGCCATTCCTCTAACACTGGGGCCAGAGAAAGGTTTGGGCTACAGCGAGACTACAGAATTAAGATTTCTGAGTGGGGCCTTTTTTGGGTGGTCAGAGGGTAGAGAAGCTCGCTGGACATGAAGCACACTGGGATCTAAGGTGCTGGAGTATTGGGCAGATCATCTGAATGGCCAGTGGCATCCCCAGGGGGAGACAGGACAGCAGGTGGGGGAGGGCAGGGGAGTACATGGATCTTTGATCTAGGTTCTGAAGCCTTAGGAGCATCATTTAGGAAAGAGGGTAAGGGGGAGATCTGGTCAAGGACTCATAGCCCCCATTCCCTGTTGGTGCCGGGTCATGCGTCTGGGCCAGGCAGCTAGACTGGGGCATAAGGCAGGATGAAGTGCTAACTCAGCCCTTTCTGCTCTTTCCTGTCAGCCTGATCTTTGGAACACTGACTGTTGTGACTGGTATTATTGGTGTCATCCTGGGGGCAGAGGCTGCGAGGAGGTACAAGAAAGTCAATCCAAGGGCCGAACCCCTCATCTGTGCCTCCAGTCTGCTTGCCACAGCCCCTTGCCTCTACCTGGCTCTTGTCCTGGCCCCAACCACCCTCCTGGCCTCCTATGTAAGTGAGGGTCCCTGGGAGGTGGGTGGGGAGCCCCTGTGGACGCGGGGGCCCACTGCCAAATCTTTCTCTTTCCAGGTAGGTCCTGTTATCCCTATTTTACAGATGAGTAAACGGAGGCTTACCATGAGTTGCCCAGCTAGGAAGGGGCAGAACTGGCGTTTGAACTGAAGGCTAGTGGGCTCTGGGGTTGTGAGTTTCTGTTGGATGATTTGATTTGAGAGAGTGGGACACATCTGTTCCCGGGGCATGTTGTGAGCCCAGGGAGATAGAGGGTGATTCTCTTCAGGTTACAGATGAGGAAAGGGTCACCACCATTGTGGACCTACTTGAAGGTTGAGGATCATGATGACAGCAGGTTTTCCAAGTCCCGAATCATCTTGTGTTTATTCCTCTCACTAAAGGCACTATTCCCTCTTCAGCGTATCCCCAAATCCTTTTTTTCTGCATGAGCCAACTTAAAGGTCACTTTCTCCAAAAGCCTCCTCCGTCTGTCCTACCCTCACATCGGAATTCATGGTTCTTGCTTGGGCTTAGCCTGTGTTTGAGTTCCATCTGGGACTCAGTTGTGTGGGGCTGTATCCACAGACAGGGAGCCCAAAGGGCAGGGACCAGATCCCCGGGATTTCTGTGTGCATCAGGGTCCCTGGCTCCCTGCAGCCCTAGCCTTGCCTGTTATAAGAAGGGACCACTGATTGTGGGAAGATGGCACCAGTTCAGCTGCCACCAGGCTTTCTTCCTCTCCCCCAGTTCCACAGCCCTGGGTTCTGTCTATGGACCCAGGGGTCCCCAGCCCAGACAGGGAGCTCATTATGTGTATCACAGGAGCTCACTATGGAAATGTTCATTTATCTCTGTTCCTTTTAGTACAGAGGGTCCAGGAAAAGAGAAGTTTTGGCTCAGAGTGGGATCCTAAAATTAAGATTTCTGAGTGGGGCTGTTCTGGTGGTGAGAGGGCAGAGAAGATCACAGGAGATGAGGCAGGCTGGCCCCCGAGCTGCTGGGCAGTGACATCCCTAAGGTGAGGCAGGACAGCAGGTTGGGGAGGRCAGGGGAGCACATGGATCTTTGATCAGAGTTCTGAGGCCCTAGGAGCATCACTTAAGAGGGAGGGGCCGGGGGGGCGGGTCTGGTCAAGGACCCATAGTCACATTCCCTGTCAATGTCAGATCATGCACCTGGGGCAGGCAGCTAGACACTGAGCCCTTGCACTTGTGCACCAAGTTCATTGAATACGCTGGACTCGGATAGTGAGTTAACAATGGCGTTAGTGATTTCTCACCACCTTGGGTGAATCTCTCATCTGTGACAAGGTCTCCTCGTATTTCTAGTCAGTCATGGGCTGGTTCCATTTAAACCACAACTTGGGCTCTACTTCCAAATACAATGCTGTCCAGCCCCCGAAAATTATACYGGGTAGAGGGGGAGCTGCAGTCTTCTGTCTTGTTCCTTGTTCTATCTTCTGTCCCTCATCCCCATGATTCAGCCCCTCCAGGGCTGAGTAGGCAAGGAAGGAGGAGCAGAAATGGCCAAGGATTACTGATCATTTGCTGTCAGGGCCCTCTGTGTGGCATATGCCCAGACAATGGGCTTGGGGACACATTTTTCTTTCTTGTTTGTGTGTGTGTGTGTGTGTGTGGGGGGGGGGAGCCTTTGGCATTGACTTTGGCATCGCCCAATTCCTTGGTGCAAGTGTGGCCTTTCCAGCTGTACCCTGTGGCCAGGAGCAGCCGTGGAGAGTCAGGGAAAGAAACTGAGCCTGGTATAGTGGGCACTAATAAATGCCTTCATGCTTATTGACTGGGGTGGGGAGGGAAAGAGCCCCCGGCACCATCAGTTTTGACTGGTGGGAGCAGAGGGGGTCTGACCTCACAGACTGAGGCCCAGGCAGATGGAGGGCCCGTCAAAGGCCTGTCCCTGATCAGCCAGCTGGAGCTACGGACCCCCTGCCAGCTCTGCTTCTGCCACTGTCTTGGTTGGCTCTGAGAATTTGCTCCTTGGCTGTGTATTGGGGACACAGCTGTCCCCCACCCTGTAGCCTGGCACATGTCCAGAGCTGGATGGCTCATCTAGAAATGACATTGAGTCTTGGCCGATGGAGCCAGCTGGACAAACTCTTCTCCAGCCCTGCCCAGGGGTGAGGGGCTGAGGGTCAGAAAGGTGATAGGGCCAGAAGGTGCCCATCCTCTAGCACCAGGAAGCTGCTCAATCTGCAGGATACCCAGTGCCACTGAGGCCCCGTGGCCAGGACTCCAGGCTCCATTGCCCTGTGGCTCTGTCTGTGTCTTTGCTGTYCAGCTAGATCTTCTGATTTGAGATTCAGGCTCCGGCTCCTCCCCCGACCAGCTATCATTCATAAAGCCCTTAACATCTGCCAGTTCCACTGTCTCCTGCCCACCCCCTGCACCCTTCCTGGGCTCATGCCTTGTGATCTTTCTCCAGGACTGCCCGGGARCTACCTTGTTGGTTTCTTTTCCTTCCTGCTCACCCACCACCATCTGTTCTTCCCACAGGGCCAGGATGAGCTTTCTAACAACCATGGACCTTCCCTGCCCCCAAGCCTTGTATGGCTCCCTAGTGCCTCTGAAATTAGGCCCAGCTCCTTCAAAGTCCCTCATGAACTATCTTGACAACCTTACTGGCCTTCTCCCTCTGTGGCAGTCCTGCCTCCTGATTCCTAGGACATGCTTCATGCTTCCTCCTTCCATTGTTCCCCAGTCCAGTCCCCTCTTCATAAGCCCAGATGGCCCTGGGCCTGTGAGGGTTTAGCACTGTCTCTCATGGAGCCTTCCCCGAGCCCTGCCTGACCCTTCCCCTATTCTTAGCACCATCTTCCTTGTGTCACGGTTCCTGGGCTCTGACCTTCTCCCAACCCCAACCTGGGAGCTTTAGGAGGGTCCAGGTCTGGTTCTGCTCTTTCTTAGCACTCCAGCCCAGAGCATAATGTCAGGCACGCGGAGGTGGGGGCAAATCACGGCTGGTTGAATGATACGCTATTTACATGCACTTATTTATCCAATAGACATTTATTGAGGGTTGATTCAGTGGTTTCCTAGTTGAAATGCTGCAGATATAGCAGTGAATACAATAGATCAAAACATCTCTTGTTTACAGAATGTACATTCTAGTTGGGGGAAGTAGGTGAACAAGAGGTGTAAGTAAAATTTATGATATTGCAGGTGATAAATGCATAGGATACAAGTAGAGTGGAGGGGTTGGGGCTGTAGCTCAGTGGTAGAGTGCTTGCCTCACAGGTGTGAGGCCCTGGGTTCGATCCTCAGCACCACGTAAAAATAAACAAATAAATAAACATTTTTTTTTAAAGTAGAGTGGAGAAGGGAATAGGGAGTGTGTGAATGTTAGGGGGAGAGGAACAAAATTTTATATAGTATGGCCAGAAAGGGCTCACTGAGAAGGCGATCGATCGATCGATCGATTTATTTATTTATTTATTTATTTATGGTACCAGGGATTGAACCCAGGGACACTTAACCACTGAGTTACATCCCTAGACCCTTTTTATATTTTATTTAGAGATAGGGTCTTGCTGAGTTGCTTAAGACCTTGCTAAATTGCTGGGGCTGGCTTTGAACTCATAATCCTCCTGCCTCAGCCTCCGGAGCCACTGGGATTACAGACATGCACCAACATGCTTGGCAGAGAAGGTGATTATTATTGTTAATTTTGCCGTGCTAGAGATCAGACCCAGGTCATTACACATGATAGGCAAGCATTCTGCCACTGTGCTCAGCAAGGAGGAAACTGTGGTTAGTGTGGAAAGAGAGGGAAGAGAGGGAGGTGAGTACTGATGGGGGTCATATCACGTTAGGCCTGTGGACATTGATTGATATATGTTTAACCAACCTTGCATTCCATGTGGGGTATATTCTTCCCTTGGTTACGGTGTGTACTTTTTTTTTTTAATATTTTTTTAGTTATACATGAACACAATATCTTTATTTTGCTTATTTATTTTTATGTGGTGCATGGGATCGAACCCAGGGTCTCACACGTGCCAGGTGAGTGCTCTACCACTGAGCCACAATCCCAGAAACAAAAACATAATTGTTTTTATGTGATTATTAGTCTTTTTTTAAAATCTGGATTATTAGTCTTTTATTGAAGATTTTTGCATCTACATTAAACAAGGGCTAGGGGGCTATTGGGAGATATATTTGCATCTATATTCCTATCTCTTTGTCTGATTTTTGTATCAGGGTAATGGCCTCAGAATGAGTTGGCACGTGTCCCTTCCTTCTCTGTTTTTTGGAAGAGTTTATGAAGGATTTGTGTTAATTCATCTTTAAACATTTGGTAGAATTCACCAGTGAAGCCATCTGGTTCTGGGCTTTTGTTTGGGGGAAGTTTTTTGATTATGAACTCAATATTTACTTGTTATAGGTCAATTCAGATTTTCTATTTCTTCTTGAGTCTGTCTCAGTAATTTGCATCTTTCTAAGAATTTGCATATTTAATCTAGATTAATCTGATTTCTTGGCACACAATTGTTCATAATATTTCCTTATAATTCTTTTGATTTCTATTAGGTCGGCAGTTATGTCCCTTCTTTCATTTAAAAATTTTTTTTTTTTGGTTGTAAATGGACACAATACCTTTATTTTATTTATTTATTTTTATGCAGTGCTTGAGGATAGAACTCACTGCTTCACACGTGCCAGGCAAGCACTCTTCCACTGAGCTACAATCCCAGCCCCCTCTCTCATTCTTGATTTTTTGTAATATGACTTCTCTCTCTCTCTCTCTCTCTCTCTCTTTAATGTGTCAGCTTAACAATAGTTTGTCAATTTTGCTAATCTTTTAGAAAAACCAACATTTGGTTTCAGGAATTTTCAATTGTTCTTTTTTTTTTATTATTATTATTGGCTTCTGTTTTGTTTGTTTTTTGGGTGGTGCTAGGGATTGAACCCAGGGCCTTGTGCATGCAAGGCAAGCACTCTACCAACTGAGCTCTATCCCCAGCTCTTTGGCTTCTATTTAAT